CGCCTGCGGGTTCGAGACCCACCTGGGCAACTTGGCGAGACCTCATCTCTACAATAAAAAAATCAAAATGAGCCGGGCGTGTAGCGCGCACCTGTAGTTCCAGCTACTTGGAAGGCTGAGGCGGAAGGATCGCCGAGGCTGTGGTGGCCGGCAGCAGCCACTGCACTCCAGTCTGGGTGACAGAGTGAGACTCCAACTCAAAAAAAGTCATTTTAGTGGGGTTTAGGGTGGGAGAAAATTTGTATGCAGACATTCAACTGCTGTCTCACTTGTCTTAGGGTGGCTTTACTGTGTTTGTAATTTGGTAGAAGGTTATCTTTGTTTATTTGTTCAGGGACTTGCAACTTAGATGGATCCACATACTCATGGAGCACACATGCATCCACATGTGCACACATAACAATTTTTAAAAATATTTCTGCAACCAGGTGGGGCAGTGTGCGCCTGTAGTTCTGGCTACTTGGAAGATTGAGGCGGAAGGATCGCCTGAGCCCAGCAGGTCGAGGCTGTGGTGGCCATGAGCATGCCACTGCACTCCAACCTGGGCTACAGAGTGAGACTACAATTCAAAAAAAAAAAAAGCTCTGGAAAGTACAGTTACATGAAAACAGATAGTTTTCAGGATGAGTTGTGCCTTTTACCTCTGTGTGTCCTCATCTCTGAAATCCACTCTAGCCAGTTTTAGGATAAAAAAAAGAACAATGCTAATACAGGGAATGTGAAAAGATTTTAAAAGCTACTGATCCTTTATCCAGAATTTGAACACTGTTCTTTTTAGTGCTTCTGTAACTGCTCTTCCTCTTGAAGCCAAAGAGAAAGTAACTTTTCTGCATTCTGTAATTTTTCAGAATTTCAGATTTTGAAAAGAAGGCAAATGATTGTTCTGAGATTGAGACCCAGACAGAGGGGAGCACAGAAAAAGAGAATGAAGAGGAGAAAGGCCCAGAAACTGTGGGTACCAAGATTCCAAGACCACTATCACACCCCCGTGTGCATGAGAGCAGTCCAGCCGCTGGATTTGTGACTTAGGATGTGTTACTTGATTTAGAAATGTAAAATTAGCATTAATGCTGAATATTGTCTATTTTCTTTATATCTCCTTGCCCTGGTTTTCATTCAGTGACAACTGTGAGTGAGATGTGTTCCTATCAGTATTCTATAAAACCACTCCTTTCTCTCTTCCTGCCTGGTTTCTTCTCCTAAATCCTTAAGTGAACAAGCCTATTAAATGAAAAAGAAATTTTGCCCACTTTCTACTGAGATCATTTGAGGATATGACTCAGAAACATGAGGTAGAATTGGAAGACCTGGGTTGTATACCATTAAATGGTTTAAATAAAGTAGTTTGGATGAAAAGGGTTGCCTGGTAACTTAGAGATATGCCTTTGAACCTGCAGAGAGTCTTAAGTTTAGGGAAAGTGAGTAAAGCCATGAAGTTATGGCAGCCCCCAGTAACCCATGTGAAACACATTTACATAAAATGCTCACTTTAATTAATTCATTTATTTTACCCATATATATATTGAATGTCTATTGTATGCCATGTAGCGGATAAAGTTCCCTACTTTCAAGAGAATGGAGAAAATTTAGAAAACTGAGATGACACTTTGAGAGGGAGAGGCGAGAGGATTGCCTGAACTCAGGGGTTCGAGACCAGCCTAGGCAACTTGGTGAGACCTTGTCTCTACAATAAGTTAAAAAATTAGCCAGGTGTGGTGGCGTGTGCCTGTAGTTCCAGCTACTTGAAAAGCTGAGGTGGAAAGATCACCTGAGTCCAGCAGGTTGAGGCTGCGGTGGCTGTGAGCATGCCACTGCACTCCAACCTGGGCAACAGAGTGAGACTCCAATTCAAAAAAAAAAGAAAAGAAAACTGAGATGAAGAGACCATCAGTGGGTAACAATACCTTGTTGACTAAAACTAATTCAACAACTAATGGTGGAGAAGTATTGAGTCTTTCGGGACTCAACAAAAATTCATTAACAAAATTTTCAGAGCTGCCAGGATAAAAACTGTACAACAAAAAGAGTAAACTAGAAACCTAAATTGGCAAGGGAATATGAGGGTGAGTTGTCAGCTGGGTAAATAGGATTGTGCTTTAACACCTCTGTGATCTCTGAGCCTCTACCTTGAGTAGGGTTAATTTTAGTAGTGATAAAGTCATTGTCACAAGTGCATCCAAATTGATTCGTTCATGCTTTATTAGGAAACCATGTTGTATCTAAAACATTCTTTTTATACAAGATATCTAGGGTATTAATTTTCTTGGTTTTTTCTGTTTGTTTGTTTTTTGAGTGGGAGTCTTACTCTATTCCCCAAGCTGGAGTGCAGTGGCACGCTCACAGCCACCACAGCCTCAACCTGCTAGATTCAGGTGATCCTTCCACCTCAGCCTTCCAAGTAACCAGAACGACAGCCATGTGCCACCACACCCACCTGATTTTTTGATTTATTATAGAGACAAGGTCTCGCCATGTTGCTCAGACTGGTCTCGAGCCCCTGGACTCAGGCAGTCCTCTTGCCTCTGCCTCCCAAAGTGCTCGGATTACAGGCATGAGCCACCGTGCCCAGCATGGTATTAATTGTCAATTATGAATCCATTCATGGTTCAGGCTGTTTTCTCACAGAGGTCCGTTTTCTCTGATGATACTCACATATGTATGCTTGGGATTTCCTGTATGATAGGTTGGAAGTGAAGTGGAAACACTGAACCTTCAGGTGACGTCCCTGTTTAAGGAGCTTCAAGAGGCTCATACTAAACTCAGTGAAGCGGAGCTAATGAAGAAGAGGCTTCAGGAAAAGTAAGAATGCAAGATCGGTTTTATCCTCATTTGAGAAATACAGTACAGTAGTTTGATCAAGGCTCAGCACGGCCTCCATCTTCTGGGCTCAGACAATCCTTCTGCCTCAGCCTCCTGAGTAGCTGAGATTACAGGTGTGCATCACCATGCCCAGCTAATTTTTTGATTTTTTTGTAGAGATGAGATCCCACTCTGCTGCCAAGGTGGGCTTGAACTTCTGGGCTTAAGCAATCCTCCCTGCACCAACCTCCCAAAAGGCTGGGTTACAGGTGTGAGCCACCACACTCGTCCAAAAATTTATACATTTTTTTACAAAGTATATTACTATATAAAAACATAGTTTTGTTACTGTATTACTGACTAAAAGAAAAATAGAGACCTAATTAAAATATGAATTCAGGAAACACTAACATCCAGGTTACTGTGTAATGAGCATGAAATACTTGTAATATGGGGGGAACAGGAACTGGGGGACTTTGATTCTGTTGTCTGGGGGTGTTTATTAAGTGGATCAGGCTGTGTAAGACCCGAGCAAAGCTGTGAGCCAGGTTTCCTGTCATTGACTTAAAAGGATGATGTTGATGTGAACAAGCATAAAGCTGAAAACAGCATAAAAAACTAGAGTGATGTTTGTTTAGAAAAAAAATCAATTTCAACCCATTATTTCATTTTTAGTCATTATGAAGGCTAACATTCAGATAGAGAATTTTGCATTTGCTTGTTTCTATTGATGTAAGAAATTACCCAAAACTTAGCAAAGGTAAGTTCATGTATTCTATTGGGTTAGTTGGCAAACATGTTCCTAGCACAGCATAGAAGGTATATGGTTTCTTGAGGTTATACTTACCAACACGCTACAGTATTATGGCATTCTGATACAGCACAGCAGCTCAGCTGAGGACTTTGGACAGATAGACCTAGATTTGACGTATGGGCCTACTTAGTTGTGGCATCATGTTGGCAAGTTATTTATTTATCCTATCTGAGCCTCAGTTTTGTCATTTGTTGTTTTTTTGTTTGTTTGTTTGGTTTTTTTTTTTTTTTTTGAGTTGG